GACAGGGACAGCATGGGATTAGATACAGAGTAAAGCTCTCTCTACACTGTGTTGTCAAACACTGCCAGTCCAGGTTAGACAGGGTTCATGGTGCTCTGTTGCTTTTCTTTTAGAATGGTATTGGATTTTAACTACAGAAATTACTGGTCACTGCGTCATTCCGTTCAAAATGTAATCCGTTTCAGATCTTACCTCATTCCGCACTATTCCACTGTATTCTGCCTCAGAGGGCACAAATACGTACAGCTCTGCTTCATAGGCTCCTCCCTCCCCCAGATTCCTTGCGTCAAAGATTAGTGTGAGCGGATTCTCATCCCCATGATACACCGTTTTACGGTCCCTGCAAGAAGACCACAGATTCTGATCACAATCCATTGGAACAACACTCACCAGAACCCAGTCCAGAAATCCGCTCCTCCTTCCATTTTTGCAGATTAACAGCAGTGCTTACCCGTAGACAGAGAGCTGTAGGTCTGGCACACAGATGTTATCATCACCACAGTCAAGCTGTATCTGGGCCTGGTTGGAGTTCACAAGAAAGAGAAATTATTTGCTGTGTTGTATCCAAAGGCATGTAAACCCTGACATAGTTTCTGGTGCATTCGAGGTGGAGACTAGATTTAAAGCCCTTTCTCAACCCCCACTTCCAACACGGATGGTGCAACTTTGAAGGGCCAGCAAAATCCAGTAGCAAGACTGTCAACCCTCCCCACCAGCAACTATCAAAACCCAAATGAATGATCTCACAGTGAAGCCCTCTCTGGGAAGCAATGATCTTAACATAATTGAATTTTACGTTCAGTATGAGCGAGACAGGAGTGGGTCCAAGGCTAGTATTTTAAACTTAAAAAAGGGCAATTAGGAGAGTATGAAAGCAGAGTGAGCTAAAATGAACTGGCACATTGGATTCAGGGATAGAGTCTTAGTCATAATCATAGTCATAGTCATACAGCATGGAAACAGACCCTTTGGTCCAACCCGTCCATGCCGACCATAATCCCAAACTAAACTGGTCCCACCTGCCTGCTCCTGGCCCATATTCCTCCAAACCTATTAATTTAGGATATCTGGTTGGCATGGACGAGTTGGACCAAAGGGTCTCTATGACTCTATTCATGTAGTTATCTAAATGTCTTTTTAAACGTTGTAACTGTACCCACATTCACCACTTCCTCGGGAAGTTCATTCCACACACGAGCCACTAAGAACCAATGAGAGGTTCAACAGCAGGCATTTAAGGGGATATTTCAGAATACACAGAATCGATACATTCTAAAAAGCAAGGGGAGGATCCATTGTCTGTGATTATCTATAAAAGTTCAGGATCAATAAGGAGGTCAAAAATGGAGTCTTAAAGAAAGCTTGCTAGAAATATAAAAACAGATAGAAAGAGTTTCCATAAATATTTATAAAAAGAACTTCCACAGTTCTAGAGAACTAGTCTATAAAAAGCGAATCTAGGGATTTAATAGAATAAAAGGAGCTGGCTGATGAATTGAATAGGTACTTTGCATCATTATTCACTGCAGAGGGCTCAAGCACCATCCCAAAAACAGCTGTAAATCACAATGACAATCAGTGGCACTGAGTAAATTGTTGGAGCTATAGCTGACCAGTGCCCGGGGCTTCGTTGTCTTCATCCTAGGATCTTAAAAGAAGTAGCTAGTGAGATAGTTGATGCACCGGTTTTAATTTTCCAAGAAGTCCTGACATTCAGAAAAGGTTCCATTAGACTGGAGGGCAGAAAATGCAATTCTTTATTCAAAAAGGGAGGAGAAGCAGAAAGAGGAAACTACAGGCCAGTTAGAGTACTATCTGTCACAGGGAAAATGTTAGAAGCTACTACTAAAAATGTTACAACAAAGCACTGTTGGATTGACTGGATACGTTCAAGGCAATCAGACAGAGGCAACATGGCTTTGTGAAAGGGAAATTGTGTTTAACCATTCTATTGGAGTCATCGTAGAACCTCTACAGTGTGAAAGCAGGCCATTTGGTCCATCGAGTATACACTGACCCTCTGAAGAGCATCCCACCCAGACCCGCTCCCCTACCCCATCCCTGTAACACTGCATTTTCCATGGCTAACACACCTAACCTACACATCCCTGGGCACTATGAGCAATTTCCCATGGCCAATCCACCCTAACCTGCACATCTTTGGACTGTGGGAGGAAACCGGAGCACCTGGAGGAAACCCACGCAGACATGGGGAGAATATGCAAACTCCACACAGACAGTCACCCAAGGGTGGAATCGAACCCGGGTCCCTGGCGCTGTGAGGTAGCAGTGCTAACCACTGAGCCACTGTGTTGCCCCACAACAGATTCCTTTGAGGAAACTGTGTAATAGATAATAGGGAACCAGCATTGTATTTAGATTTCCAGAAAGTGTTTGATAAAGTGTGGAAAATAAAAGCTCATGAGAATTTTAAACTTGAAGCCTCACATAACTGGGACCCAAAATAGGCCTGTACAAGAGCAAGATTAGAAGATCGAGAGAGAGTCTCATTGCTTTGTCCGCCTCAGGTTCTGGTGGCTGGAATAAGGAGAGGCTGGTTAAAGAATCTTTGGTCTCGTGCCTGTGGAGGCCACAGGGCATAGGCCAATACCCTCTGGTCCCATCCTCTCCCACAAGGGGAAACAACCTCTCCATATCTTCCCTGTCAAGCCCCACTAAGAATCTCGTCTGTTACAATAAGAGCTGTTGCGACGTCTGGCTTAGCAGAGACCAGGACTGTTCCCAATGGCATCCCTTCAGGAGGATCTCTCGGGACTGGTGCTTTTCACTGATACTGACCGTTTCAAGGCTGCTGTAACCTCACTTCAAACACAGGATTGCCACAAGCTGAGAAGAAAGCACGTACCTCCTGAGTGAGGTACTCCTGTGTTGAATAGCTGAGGATTGGCTGCAGGCCATGATTATCCAGGGGCATTGTTGGATCCAGACTGAAATTCATAGCTACCTGGATCAGTGAGAGCTTATCTCGAAACTCATGCTCTTCCTGCCGAGAAACAAAAAAAAACCCACGTCAAATTCCATCTCATGTTTTGCTTTTAAAAGACTGCAACAATCGATCTCTGGCACAAGTAAGAGAGCTGAAAGTGCAGCAGTCAGGGCACAATGAGGAGCTGGTCAAGCCAAGAAAAAGCAGGAATACATGACTGCTGCAACTTGTCTTGTCCAGCAGTCAGGAAGGAGATGCCATCACGTACCCGCAGGTAGACCTTCAGGTCTTGGCAGATTTCGCCATGCCCGTTGTTGATGATCACTTTGTCCTGGAAGAGATGCTGGCGAGAATTGAGAAACAGCACCCGCTTGATCGCCCCTTTCTGCTTCAGGCTATCCAATTCCAACTCCATCTTGAAACCTTCAGAAAGAACAGAACAGTCAAAGAGTTAATGTGAGGTTGTGAAGCCAAAGAAGTGGCAGGTGGGAGAAGGGGCTAGACAAGGAAAGAGGGAGGAAAGGGCAGATCTGCATCAGTGGGCTGGCCGGAGGGAGTGAAAGTGACGGCAGCAAAAGGCAGCTTGAGTGGAGTGGCTTCCCTTTTGGGCAACCAAATGTTACAGCGAGCAGGGACACCCATACACAGAGGATCAATTTCACACACATTCCCTCAGCGCAGACCCTCCAACAGTGCAGCACTCCCTCAGCACTGACCCTCCGACAGTGCGGCACTCCCTCAGTACTGACCCTCCGACAGTGCGGCACTCCCTCAGTACTGACCCTCCAACAGTGCGGCACTCCCTCAGTACTGACCCTCCGACAGTGCCTCGGTCCCTCAGTACTGACCCTCCGACAGTGCCTCGCTCCCTCAGTACTGACCCTCTGACAGTGCCTCGCTTCCTCATGTGACAATGCTGTCACGTTAAGAGGTTATTTTGTCCTTT